ATTTGTTGGTAGCTATTGTCTGTTTAGAGACCGAAGCTTACCTTAAAACTTTAGTTTTTTTTGTTGTTGCAAATGTATTAAGAGATTGGGATTCTAAGTTATGGTGTGCTTATATATCACTGTTGCCACATGAATATATAGATATTAAAGAGTACGACAATGTTGATTAACTTAGTTCCTCTGTACATTGAAGATTTTAAATTTAATCATGGAGCTACAACGATTCAACACCGATTCAAGCTCAAAATCCAAGAACTCTAAGATGAAACACACTTGCAGATAGACATGAAAGATAGAGATATATGATAATTCATAAGTCCCTCTTAACTCTTTTAGTTGAAGGTTTGGACAATAGTGTTGTGCCATGGGTCAGACAGGTGCTGCAACAGATTCTCAAATGGTCCCTTTCCAGTCACATTGTGTTGAACCACAAACCCTAAGAACGCCAACATCGCCAATCTCCCTGAAACAACAGTAACAAAAAAAGGTTCTTTAGTCTTTTAACTCTAACTAGGAGTTTCTTGTGTAACAAGATTAACGGATTAGTCTAAGCTCACCGTTTGCGATTTCTTTCTCCTTGGCCTCGAGCGTAGGAGCAAAGTTAAGCGGGTTAAAGATTCCACCGGGGTAACCAACTTCACCCTTAGGTAAGCTGTATTGCTTAAAGATAGGGTCTTGGTTCACACTTCCTGGGTTCTTGATGTCTTGCCACCGTCTGATCTCAACGTAATGAAACAATATGAATTCGATCACGAACAATGTCGACGACGATGCAAAATACTGCTCTTTCCCAGCATCATACCACTCCGGAACATTTATGATTCCTACCAACAGTTTTAACAATCCCTATGTTAAGTTCTTGAAAAGATGTAACAAATATTTTATAGGTCATGCTAATGGTAACTCACCGAGCTTGGTGAAAACTTCTGGCAAAAGCATCCCAGCGACACCGAGCATGGCCCATCGTCCGTTGACCAGCTCTGCCTGGACGAACCATTTCAAGTTCTCTGGATCCTCTGCTAGACCCAACGGGTCAAACCCATTGTCACCGGCAAGACTGCAATATATAATAGTAAGTGAGCATACCAATCACATTAAATAAACCGGTATCGAACAAACCCGGTCGAACCTAACCAATCCAGATTGATTATTCAATTGTTCCGGTTGTGTTCAAGTAAATTACTATTACACTTAAAACTAAACCGGTATCGGACTGACCTAACCTAACCAAGCTGGTTCCGGTTGTTTTAAACCGAAAGTGAATGTAGTTTGCAAAAATTACCTGCCGGTGAGATAATCAGGCGATGCCAAACCGGGCAACCATTGTCCTTTCTTAGCCTCAACCTTGAACGAAGACGTTTTGGACGATGAACCAATCGATTTAAACGACAAGTCGCGGTTCAACCTACCGGAAGAACCGGTGAGGAATCTTGGCTTTGAAGTAGTACAAGGTCGGAAAATCGAGGCCGAGGCATGAGTAGTGACAGTCGCCATTATCCCTAGCTAGACTTAGAAGATCCGACCCGAGAACCCGGTTACTGAAAGAAGAATAGATTGGAATCAAGAGAGATTGAAAGATGAAGTTCAGAGATGATTGTGAAGAAATAAGACTTGAGGGGGATTTTGTAAGTTTATTCGTTTGTTGAAATGAGTTTTGTGGCTGTGGTTTGATGGATGAGTATCTACCGTTGGATTAGATGACGTGTTTGATTTGACGGATGGGATTGGTTTGAGAGGAGATACAGGCTTATCGGTTTATCTTCGAAGCGTATCTTAGGAGGATTTTTATGTTGTTTGAGATTGGTCGGAATAAGATAGTGTCGGGTCCATTGTTGTTAGTTTGTTACACGTGTCAATTATATGGATTAAAATATAAGAGTGAAGTGAGGATTCTCGTCAACCAATCAAATGGAACTGAATTGGCATATGGGAAACCAAAAATCCAAAGTCTGATTTTCCTAATCATCAAGATAGGGGAATTTAAAAAGTAACTGTGCAATTTTTGAAATATTTTTGGATAGCATCTAAATATTAGGTTTTATGTGAAAACCAAAACAATGTGAATTTTTATAATTTCTTTGCAATGGAATAATAAATAAGATTTGACTAATTATGTCACAATATGTATATGTGAAGAATTTTTTTTGTTGAAATCGAGTAAAAGTATTTCAAATTGACTTTTTGCTTAGATTCTTTGGTTTGTAACTTGTAAAACATAAAACCAATTTGGATTTGTCTGAAAGTCTTATCTTGATTTTGGGTTTGTCAAGGTTGAGAATCTCGGGCTCGTTTAAGGAGTAGGATATTTGAGTTGTTTTAGGCCCAAGAATAAGAGAAGAATTGAGATTGTGGAGGAAGCATGAATATATCAACGTAAATAAGTTTGTTAGAGGAAAAAAAAAAAGTTTATTAGAGGACGACCAACAAAAGAAGAAGAAGTATATTAGACAAGTCATAACTAGCCAACAACATAATTAATTTTATTATCATTCCAATCTACTTCACGAATAGCTCTTCTCTATGATCTTCACAAACTCATAAAAATCAATTTTCCCATCTCTATTCTCATCAAAAACTTTAATCATCTTCCTACACTCCATCTTTGTACACTCATCGTATCCTAACAAACTCAACACATGTTTTAACTCATTTTCATCTATAAACCCATCTTGATTCTCATCAAATAATCTAAACGTCTCTTTGACTATCCCCTTACCCATCATCTCATTCTTCTCAAGCAAGTACTCTTCTCCTTCTTCTATCAAACGTTCGTATAAAGCTTCTGAGTCATCGATAATCGCCTTGACTTCCTCCAGAGACGTCTTGTTATCTACTCGATTTTGGACGAGAACTTTTTTTATGATTGGGAGCTCAGTATTTTGCTTATTGTTTCTTATGGAGGCGAAGAGAATGTAGGCGTTAGAGAAGAATAGATGGAAACGATAGGGAAACGAAGAAGAGAAGTCTTGAATTATCATCATGAGATTGAGAATGAACAAGAGGATGACAATGGTAAGGAGAGAGATTGGGCTAAGAAGAGACGTATCCTCCATATTAATCTAAATTTATGTGTGTGGAATACCATAAACAAAATTTCTATGAAGCTTTTATTATTCTTCTTTGGTTTCAAAGGTTGGATAATAAGTGTGTTGAGTTGGTCCTATTTTATAAGAGGTGTTACTTAAGTACGAAGACCAAAACATATCTTACGCACAAAGTCTGCGGAAGGAGTCTCCATGGAAATTGTTGAGAAACTTACCAAAATTCTTTAGAAAATAAAAAGTAATTTAAAAATGTGTATCTATATTTCAAATCAAATTGAACTTTTGGACTGAACCGAATGGAAATTAAACAGGGTAGTTAATCTTGTCATATAAGAAAAAAACAAATGTTTATATATTTTGATAATCGAATAATAAAATGTAATCAACTTCTCATCATACCCAAGATGAGCACAAAAAAATAGAGTTGAAAATTGAGTGAGGGCATCTTTCATTATCTTGGATTCCAATTCATGGAAATTTCCATGCAATTTCCTTGAAACGTTTTCCTTTAAATTTATTATCATGTTGCTTTCACCGACCCAAGTACCCTTTGGCTTATTTGATATGTGGAAATATTGAGACTCTTCGTGGTAGTTCAGTTTCAAACCCATGATCAGTTTTTGTTTTAAAATACATTTATTATTATATTAGAATAAATCTAAAGTTCACGTACGTGGTGATTTTCTTAATCGTTTGTTATGGAGTTTAATAGAATTAGAAAATATATTTATTAATGTAATAGATGATTGAAAAAATCATATTGAAATCAATTTGTAAGTGTCCTCGATCAAAATATAACTAGAAGGCTAACAAACTAAATTAACTAGAAATAAGTTTGAAAAAATTTTAATCTACGTCTATCCATCTAAAACTTAGAGAGTTCTCATTTGCGATAGATTTAGTATAATAAATTGGAAAACCAACCTTATGGTAACTTTGTGGAATAGCAAAATGGTTAAAACAAGAACATTTCAACTTAATTTGGAATTAAAGAAAAAAACAAGAGGCTTGAGTTATAAAATATCATAATCCCAAGAACAATGACAAAGTTTTGTACCTTTCATGTCTACTTCTTATCTTTGTAGATAGAAAATTACGAATATCGAAATAACCATCTTGATTTCTTGAATATACGTACGAGCCCATACAGTGGCGGATCTAGAAAATAATTTTACCAGGGGCATTAATATTTTACTATCATGCAATAGAGTTAAAAAAAATATATATATATATCTTCAAATGTTCTTTACACTTACCTACATATTAAATTTATTTATCATTATTATTTTATTAGTAACGGACTCAAACAACCTATTTTTATTTTCGTCATGAATTTTCACTAGTTTCATTGCACTAGCAATAAATAAAATAAAATAAAAATAAAAATCTCAAAGAAAGATAGAATTAAATGGATTGGAGAATTTGTATTTGATGATGGCGAATGCAATTAAAGTTTGACATGAAAATAAAACAGAAAATGAGAAAACAAAAGAGAAGGAGTTCGAGAAGACGATATTAGAAGCTATGGTATTTAGTGAAACAAAATAAATAATATCTTAATTTAATTTCAAAAACAAACCATTTCAAATATTCCACTAATTTTTCTTAAGTATGTTAACTAAATGGATATGAACTTGTAGACAAAAAGAAGAAAAACTTATTGGACTTTTGTCTTTTATCTTGTGAACTTTTAGTTTTTTATTTAATAAACACACATACGTGTTTCAAGTTTCAAGTTTTAACACAATTAAAAGTAAAAGGGGCATGCAATAATTTATTAAGAGGGGCATAATTAAAAACATATATAAAATTACACTAGTTTTGAAAATTTTAGGGGTGGCAAGTGCCCCTCCCATGAGCCAAGTACGTCCGCCCCTGAGCCCATATATGTATATTTGTATGTTTATGGGCCTAACGAGATTAAGAAAATGGAATGGCCTACGACAATCATCTCCCGAAGAATCTGTAATCTTTTGATTTTCTTCGTCAAATTAAACCACAAAAACCTCTCCATCGATTCGGATCATCCACAACACTCGACAATGAAACCCGACCCGCCCAGACGCAGAAACAGAGCCTTATCTTCTTCTCCATCAAAGACCCGACCCGGTTCCGGTGAAGCCCGTGGTGGAAAGGTGAAAACTTCGGCCACTTTACTTGACCGGGAGGAGATGGGTCTTTTTCCCGGGTCGGGTTACGATGACCCGAATCCAGAACCTAGGGGCTTTCCTTATAGTGTGAAGCAGCAATGTTGGGAAAAAGCAGAGAAGATTAAAGGAAGAGATCCTGAGCGATGGAGGAGAGATCATTTAGGGAACATTGTGTTTAGGAAACTCGTAGGTTGTCCTGGATGCTTGTGTCATGATTATGATCACATTGTTCCTTACTCCAAGGTTTGTCCTTTACAATTCTCACTTCATGAATCATGATACTCTGTTTTGTGAGCAATGAATTCTAGTTATGTAAGTTTAGGATTAAGCTCAAAGCCTCAAACTTTAGTGAAATGTTTAAGGAAAGTTTTGCTTTTAGGTTATTTCAATATAGTTTCTGTCTTTATGTTCGTGTGTGTGGATTACTACTCTCACTTCATGTGACTCTGTTTTGCCTATGAGTTCTGGTTATTTAGGGTCTAGGAACTTGATGGCTCTGTAGTCTCAGAAGATTTTGCTCCTAGGTCATTTCAATATAGTTTCTGAAAGGTGATCACTGTGATATAGAGATATTGAATTTGTGCTATTTACATTCTTGATTTGGGATCTGAGGGATAAGGGAAATGAGTTCTTTTTTTGTGCTCTCATGTTGTAAAGTCTAAAGTTAAAATGGTGGAATATGTAACTTGCGGACTAAACGGTTATTATATATTGCTGGTATGGATTGAAGAATGAGAGTGAAAAAAGTATTATTGTGCTGCAGCATGGTTTAATAGGAGCTATTATTGTTTGTTTTCTGAAGTCTCTTTCGTCCCTAATAGTAGGCGTTAGGAGATGTGTCCATAAGAACACGCCTTTGATGAACCCTGCACGAGTTCTTGTTGCTAGAGTTTCACATTTATCCTTTGAATCTACAGTAAAAACTTAAGAGGATTGCAGCTTCGGGACTGTGTTAGAATTATTAGTGAAAAGCTGTAACCAAAGATCTGATTGTCATGATTCCTGCTTTCATTTTGATTGATCTGACTGTGACCCTAATTTTCCAAACTGAGATTTATTTGAATTTGTATTGATGGTGCATCTGTCCTCTTTTTTCTCGTTGGAACGCATAATGTAATTGGATTCATAGTATACAATATAGTTTGATATACAAGAGGAAGATATCTTCATCAACATGTAACATTACTCATTTAGTGCTCATGCTTCTTTAGTTCTTGTTTAGTATCTGAAGAGTTTACCTTCCCAATTTTTTTTAGGGCGGCAAGAGCACTCTGGAAAACTGCCAGGTTCTGCAGGTACGCTGCGGAAATTTAAACTAACATATGACTACTATTTAAGGTTTAAAATGGCTACTACATATCTATGTTTTAAACAAACTTTTAGTTTCCAGTGAAGGTCTATTGAATGTCTACTACAATATCTATGTTTATAGTCAACATTCTCTTGTATTCTGACTTATGACCTGTATTTTTGCTTAGTGGAGGAAACTCTTAGACAACCCATTTTCCGCAAAGCACTCTCTAGGTTTTACTTATTAACCTCAATCCCAAACTTCAAACCAAACATACTCTTTTGGGCTTTTAGCTTCTTTCTCTTCCTTAGAAATTAGAATCAATAGGGTAAAGCTCTAGGGTCATTAAGTTTGTTTTGTTTCTACGTTTCAGGCAAAGGTAAACCGATCAAAGGGTAATAAAACCGATATTTCTCGAGCCGAGCTTATCCAGAGGAGTTCTTATTGTCGCGTTGCTGGTAATTCTGCACACTCTTCTCTATGAAACGAACTATAACTGAGTTTTAAACTAAACTGTTCTTTGCGAAAATTTTGTAGGCCGAGATATGGATCTCATTGAGCTAACAGCTTACGGGAATGTACAGCGCGCACCTGTGTCCAGTGGATGCAGGATTCAGTAATCTGTCGAAGATACATTGATGGAAATGAAGATGATTAGTTTCTCAATATTTACTCGGACAAGATTCTGTAAATTTTGTCAGTTTTTATCTGAGTTACGTGTGTACTCGTTATCTTTCATATAAAATGTAACATTTAGTCATTTAGTGCTCATGCTCTTTTTATTGCATTTTTACTTAGAAAAATAATGACTTCTATCCATGATAAAAAAATATTCAAATGGGAAATGTGAAAATTACCTTCTGGTTTGTTTTCAAACACATACTCCCTCCGTTTCACAAAGAGTGTCGTTTTAAGGTTTTATTTTTGTTTCACAAAGAGTGTCGTTTTAGGTTTTCAATGCAAAATTTAATGATTTTTTATGTTTTATGACTATTAGTATTCTGCAGATTGTTTTACTATTGGGCAGATTGTGTTTAAGTATATAGGTAATGATGTTTTTGTTTAGAAAAAACAAAAAATTTAATGTTTTCTTAATCTGTGTGCAAAACTCTAAAACGACACTCTTTGTGAAATAGATGGAGTATTAATTAAAAAATCGTTTACAAAATCTTTTTTAGAAAATAAACAGAAATTTCTGATTGTTTATGTGGACTTTTTTTATATTTAATGAAAGTTTTTTTAATTCTTCTAGAAGCATACTTTTTCTTCCTCTCTTTTCAACTTTTCATTAATCTGGAAAATAAATTCGATAAAATAAAATTTTGAGCAACAGATAAATTAAAATAAATCATTATCGGGGAAAGATAAGTACATTACTACTACATTTAGTTACTTACATGTCACTTTTTACCTGAAACATTAAAAGAAAATGAAAAAAAAAAAAAGAGACAAAAAAGTCTAAAAAGGCATATCTTTTTGTTGCCTTTATTTTTGGTTATCTTTTGGGAGGCGTGTCAGGTCTTCCTCAAAGAACCTAAAGTTGGTTACACGTGTCAAGATCACAGAAGATGCCTTCCTTTGTGGGAAAGTCCTTTTTATTTGTTTTCATGTGGAAATCTACTCACCAAAGTTTTCTTTGCACTCATTCTCTTGCTCCATTTTTCTTTTTCCCTTTTATATAAAAGTTCATATAACTGTTGTTAAATAAAATCAAATTTATTCGTAGATACTAGTGATTTTTTATAATTTATTTTTCCAAATATGTATTTTATAATTTACTTATCATTTTAAATTTAAAAAATGGAAAAAAGTAAAGGAACCAAATGCTTCATATAATTAATCTTATCAAAAATATTATTAACTAGCAAAAAAATTCACTCAGAATATTAGTTTTCATTATATTAATATTTATTGTTCCTCTTAAAGCAATCGTTATCATCACATATACAATTTCTTTTTTTTTTGTTATTTTAAAGATAATACTAAAATGCAAATAAACATTATAAATTTATAATAGGTGTATATAAAATATGAATATGTTCAACCTTCATAAAGATTGGTATTTGTGATTTATTTTGTTTTGAATGGATATCATATTTTGTTGTTTTGTTTGAAATTATAAAGATATCCATATTTTTTGGATTGAATTCAAAAGCATATTTCAAAGCAAAGCATATATAGTGGATAATCTGATTTTGTGGTGAGAGCTAGAGTAAACTTTTTTTTTGGTACAACAACTTATATAGGTAGTGACTGGTAGTGGTAGACATTATTGACGTAAAATATTAGTTTTACTTTGACTTTTGCCAAAAAAATTACCAATCATAGTAATTCGGCAGAAAATTATTTCTGTTATTTCTTAGGAAATATTGCGTTAATCTTTTTTTTTGTTGTGAAGTAAAAACTTGCACTACTTTTCACATTTACGCTTTTTTCTATTATTTTTTTTTTCTCAGTCACGCTAAAATGTATCAGTCAGAGCCATAGTCCAGAACTCGTGGCAAAAATAACTCTTATATCCTTTCTAGTAAACCAACTTATATAATCCCAACCTATTATAAATTGTAGAAAGGGTGTAATGAAACGTATCATTTAAATGATTTAACGAGCATATATTGCCACAGTTCGACCAAAAAGTTACCAGATTTTATAATTTATAGTATACTATTTACATGTTTGACCAAAAAACTGATTTCTTACAAGAAAAAACACACTCTGAACTCTAATAAACTACACGTACAGCTACAAAGGAGAGCAGAATCAAGTGAACGTAGATAATTAAAATTTACAGTCTTATGGAATATGTATATATATATATATAGTCATAGATTGAAAAGTGCAATGGCCTTCTGATTTCAAGTTGATACATTATGAGATGAGACTTTTCACAAAACTTTTAGTGGAGGTTGACTCCAACTTCCAATTCTTGAAGGTTTACTTTGATCATCAAAAGTCAACACTAAATCAAAAGTTTCTTAGTGAGTATATACATTAATGGTTGATCTCAATATTTTCTTGAAATTTTCTCCATAGTGCATTATCACTTTATCCCTCCCTCATCCCCTCCGAAAAAAACCATTAAGTAAACTTTTTTTTTTGCACACAATTATTCATATTATCTTATAAGTTTTACCCTTTGTTATTTCAACGATATAATTTCTACCGGATTTGAAAAATTTAGATATTACCACAGTTACACAGTAATCCCACAAATATATTTTTTATTCTAATAAATTTTCTTTGATCAAAATGATAGCAATTCACAATTGTAAATTTATTGTATGTATAGATATATATCATAGTAATTGAAATTTACGATTGCAGTGGAATATCAAAGTATCGAATTACTCAGCTATATAATCAAACCAACAAAATGATTTTAGTTTAATTATGTGCTTATAAAGAAAGCAAGAGGCATCATATCTTCATTTTCTTCTGTTTTTTTTCCAATATTTATAAGGTTTGCTAGCCAAAGTAGTTAATTATGGGGCCAAACCAGTAAAATAGAGCCTTTACATTTAGATGACAAATTAATTAAATTTAAAGACGTAAAAAGTTCAGAAGATTAATTAGGCCTAATTTTAGTTAATTGTTTTTCTCTGATCTGAAATGTATCCATTTTTTGATACAGCAGAAACATGGAAAAAGGAGTTTATATTTCCCATTGTTTCGTAATTATGTACTTATGGATCTAAACATCTTAACGACGTTCTTGTCTCATGTTTGGAACCATTTGCTAAAAGCAAATAAATGTTTCTTTCTAAGTATCTTCTAGTATAAATTTTCCAAATCTTCTAATAAACAAAAAGAAGGTATGCCTAATATATCTTTGTGTCTTCAATTATAGTGGTGCGTTTGCGGTTGAAACGCGTTTGGCATTAGTCAATGTTTTTGGGTGCCAAACTTCTTTTTTTTTTTTTTCCAAATTTTCTAAAAGGCGTTCGGGTGATAAGAAACAAGAAGAAAAATTTGAATTTGCAATTTAACTTTTCACAAATTGTAATAAGAAAATGAATGTTGATGTAAGGCAGGGAAAATACATGGAAAAAGGAACAAAATTGCTTTGCCACAGAATGAAAAAAGGCAGAAAAGAACAGTATTATATAAAAAGGAAATAAAGCAACTTGACATACTTTTATATGTTAGAATGGTGATGATATATTAATTCTATGTGGTATAAAATAGAAAATAAAAATATGTGTGGCTAATAGTTGTTTGGGCACTCTGAAATATCTAAGTTGCTTTCGAAGACACAGACCAAATAATAAAGTAAAAACTGGAAAAAACATATAGTGAGCCATCTTTTTCAGCATCAATATAAAAAAAGGATACAAGTAAAAGAAACTTTTTCAACATATTAAATTCTGATTTTCTGAACGTGGAATGGGACCACCCAATTTTCTTCATACTGTATTTTTTCATCCAATAACATGTTCTTTGATGCATAATTTATTATCACTATTGAATAATTTTGTATTATGTTTAAATTTATATTCCATTAAATTTGAATCAATTATGATTTTGCCACATTTTTAGTGGCATTTATAGATTTTGCTGTTTTGGCTAAAATATTATAACCATTTTTCAGGATAAAAAAAGATTAAACATATGTTTTATCTTTTATATTTGGATTTAGTCGGTTTTATTTGTTTTTAGAGTTACTATTTGTTACTACAAGGTATGTATTTTAGCAAAAAAAAAATCATAAATATGTATACGCTTAAAGTGTTCAAAATGGCAAATCCCTAAGATTTAAGCCAAAATAGCAAAATCCATCAATACTACATAAAAATGGCAAAATCCGTAAAAACCCCTTAAAATTTATGCAGATTTTATGTAAGAGATTGAAGTAGATTATTTATTTAACTAATATTATTTAAAATTAGAAGTATATTTAATAGAGATTTATAATTTTGTGTTATCAGTATGGATAATATTTTATAAGAACTTAAAATATTAATTCCTGGGTAATTAGATGAGCAAGCATGACAAGGTCATGTCAATTATCTTATAATTGTTTTTTCAAATATTTTCGAAAAAGATATAAATCCCTTAAAACTGGATGGTCCCATTCCACAAAGATATAAAGAACATGTTATTGGATTCGATATTTACAAAGTATGCTTAAGAGATTTTAAAGTGTAGTGAAACTATAATATATTGAAAATATAGATGATTTCATAAACAAAAATTTAAATAAACTGGAACTATGTAACAGAACAATTTCAAACTTTAAAGCATCAATATATGTAAATAAAGAACTTTGGAAATTCATAATTATTAATATTTTATTTTATTGTTGAACATAATGGAAAGTTATTATTATTCCCTATTATCTATTTGCATCGGATTATTCATTTTATCTTGAATAAGATAGTTTGTTTCTTCACTATATTTTTTTTGAGTATTGTCGTTTTTAACTTCACAAGACAAGAAGTTGTAAAGAAGAGTCAGAAGAGTGTCGGTTGAAATGCCAACGCAACAAAACGGTCAACACCAACTTTTTACCATTAAATGTTATCTTCCAACAATTTTTGACAAATGAAGAAAGAAAGTAAAAAAAAAAAGTAAATCAAAATAGTGTACAGAGAACAAAAACACTAGGAATAAAGGTCACTAAGAAGAAGAAAAGAGTTTGATTCTCAAAAACTCATCATTCTCCAATTCTATACATACAATCATACATATATACATATACATATATAACTCTAAATTTGTTCATGGAAATTGTGTGATCTTGATAGAGCAGCAGGGTTAGCAGAAAGAGCAGGGGAATTTTCGGTTTTGTCGTTGTTATTCATCTTCGTTTTCTGATCAAAACCTTTGAACATACCACCGGCTTTGCACATCGCTTCGTTCTTGATTCCCAATGTTGTCCATATCGAGCTCTTTGCTGCTTCGTTTGGATCGTCTATTCTCAACGTTTTTGGGACCAGAACGCACCCGTTCCTCTGTTTCCGCTCTGTGTCGTTGTCCTTTTTCGCGGATTCTTCATCTCTCGAATGCTTTCCGAGAGTAGGAGAGTTTGGATTTGAAACCTTTTGGCTGATAGGTGATGAGGATTGATGCGGTGATAACATCGGGATGGTCCAGTAAGGGTAAAACGGCATTGGATACCCTGGAGGCGGGTAAAAACCCGGTGGGGGCATCGCTGGATTCCACGTGTATGGCCATGGAACACCAGGGATGCAAGCATAACCATTCATGTTGTTGTTGTTGTTCATTTGTGTGTCAACAACTCTGCCGCTTTGTGCTCTTGATTCATCAACCGAGTGATTGTTAGAGGTGGTCACAGAGGATCCGCTTGAGCAATCATCTCCATTCTCTACCCGAGCTACAAGCCGTTGATCCGCTAACCCATGAAACCCGTTCCTAGCTCCGTTTGAGACCTTTTGGTCTCCTTGTAGCTTCATCACAGGTGCCATAGGAGCAGCGAGCTGTTGATGAGCTTCCAGACCAAAACTCAAAACCCGAGTGTTTGCCTGCAAGCCCGGATCAAGCCTCGCAGCCTCAAGAGCCTCGGAAATAGTGATGTGACGGTAATGAGAAGAGGAGCTTTTGTTCTTACGACGTCCTGCCCCCACGGGAACATTCCTCATAGTCCCTCCAGCAGTCCAATATCTCTGACAAGCTTTGCAGAAATGACGAGGCTGGTTTATGTTGTAATTATTGTAATAACAGAACTTAGTATCCATACTTTTACATCTCGGACACGGCAGAATCTTAGTCGGTTTCTTCAGGGTTTTACCGTCAGCTGTCGTCTGCTGATTATCCTCAGGCTCGTCACTACTCTCTATCTGATCGGTTGATGTCGCCTCCTCTTTGTCCACGGTTTCGGGTTTCGAATCATTCGAATTGTTAAAACTGTTGTCGTTACAGTTCTTGTTGTTCTTATCTGATATCTCTAGAGTTACCTGAGACACAATAAACACTAAACTAAGAATCTCTAACACAAATTGTAGATCCAAGATCAACAAAACCCAGTACAAAGAGTTTATAGAGACAAAACAGTAAGAAGTTACTAGTTAAGTTAATTATTAGTACAGAACTAATCTAATTACATTTATTTTGAGGTCTAAATATTAACAGTTCCAATTTCAGACCAAAATTACTTTTTTTATCAATCAATACCTTATCTGGTGATTTGTCATCTCCTCCATCTCCGCCGCTCCAGTCATCTTCTTCCTCATCCTCCACAGTAACCGACGATTCAAAAACCGCCGTTAAAGGGATTTTCATACCGAAGAGCTTAATAGCTGGATCTCTACTCTCCATCATCATTTTTTTAAGCTTCGAGGAGTCTCTGTTTCTTCTGTCTCTCTCTGTCTCTGTGATTTTTTTTTTTTTTGTTGGGGAGATTTGGGAGAGTGTGAATTGGTGAAATTAAGGGATTTAGAAGATCGGTTTAAAAGAGAAGGAGGAAACACGTCAGCATCACAATTCAATTCTCAGCCACAAGTTTATGTGGCCTCTGATATTTTCCTTTTCCCTCATTAATACCGGGTCGGGTTGTCGGGTTTTATTAATTAATATTAATATTTCCTACCTTTTTATGTCTATTATTATTCGCATCTAATCCTTTTTTTTTGTTCTCTTAATTTTTGTTGCACATATTTTATTCGACAATTCAAAACCATATATATTAATTACAAACTTAAAAGTAGTATCAGTTTTTTTTTTAATTTCCTATCAGAAAAGAAGTTAATCTTTATTGTGAAAATTTGTTTTTTCATTGGCGTATGAAAAATGAAGCAACAAATTATATTGATTATTAATGTACTGATTATTTTCTTAGAAATCATTTCTAAAAAATATTCTTTTTCTCATCATGAAAAACTATAATATTTATCACAGAGTTAAATATAGCTTAAGATAAAATTGTTGGATGCACCATTGCTTCCAAGAATTTTGTAAATCACAAAACTGAAAAAGTCATGAAAATATACTAAGAGTTCCGAGAATTTAATATTTTAATTTTTACTAAACTACTAAGAGTTTTATTCATTACTATATTATTTGGAATAATAAATTACTTCATAAAATATAACAAAATAACTACATGGCATGAGATTTTATTTTGTTATTTTCTTCTTTTAAAGTCTAAAAGGTCTTTTGGTTCACCATAACTAATTCACCAATTACTAGTTTCACAAAAAAAAACATTGATCCTAGTTCATCACCGATCATGTTGGTTAAACCATGCGTTCCATGCTTGTTTAATCAAATCTTATGCCAACATAGTTTTGTAACTCATTTCTTTTTCAGTTCACCAAGTATATATCTACGAAGTCACTATCATATGAGATGAGGAGGTGAATGTCAAGAGCCTCGTTCTCGGTTTTTACCTATTGTTGATTTTGTTGGGACACAGTTGTTTTTTAGTGCTGTTGAGATTTTTCTAAGTGACTCTGCCTGTTGGGTGATTAAGTTTTCTTTAAATATTCCCAATTTTTAGCATGGTAATGGCACAATTGTAACCAAGAGGTTTTAGTGTAGAGTTTTCAATGTCCCATATAACTAGGATTACTAATCGAGAATCTTTATGAAAGAAAGACGGAGAGAAAATCTATTAAATGCGAAGATCTCGCTCAATGTCGAGAAATTCTATGATTTCTATTAAAAAAAATCGATTGTAAGCATCATGACACTTAATCTATTTAAATTATATTTTTTTGACATCATTACATGGTATTTGTATTCAATCTTAAATTTTTACGCTAATTTTTGTTAATCTCTCAATCATTCGTCTACCAATTTAGTTGAAATTTTTCATATTGAAAGTTTTTGTTGTCATACAACTTTTCTGCAAAATAACATCACAATCTGTTTAATTACAATTTGATTATGTAGATGTTATGCTAATTTATAACATTATCGTTTGTATAATTTCTTTCAAAAATAATTTATTTATTTTATACAAAATCTAATATAGAAAAGTCCAATAGATAAAGAGATTTAGATTTGATCGTTCTGCACCTTCGACGCGTTTCTTCTTCCTTTCTTGTGCTTTTTTCTTCTCTTCTGTGTCTTTTACTCTTCAATTCAAGATATATGTGGCTAGTTTCGAATCTCTTGTTTGACATGTGGTAGAGTTTCAAAGTGATGAATTCGGTTATGTTGGTGGTTGGTTCACGACATTCATGGCGAAAGATTTTCAGGAGGAGAATCAAGAGTTTATGCTTTACGATAATACATGATAAAAACTTAATCGTTAGAGAGGATGATGATGAACACGTTGAACACGTAAACTAGCTTAACATTCGTCTTGTTCCACTGGAGATTAACAACGTTGATGTAGTTTTATGTGCATGGTGTGCTATTGAAACAAAACAGAAGAATGTGTGGTGGGAAGAGGTAATTCTCAAAGTATTGGAGAATAACTTCTTCTTGGTATATTTTGCTACACCATTGGACGTTCTGATTTTCCATAGAGAAGATATTAGGCTTCGTTGGAATTGGGTAGCAGTTTCTTCTAACTGGATGAAGAGAATAATCTCTTTGACTAATTTTCTGGTTTCTTGTCTCTTTTATTGTTCAAACATTTTCCTAGTTTGTTAGAATTAGTGATGAAAACTCTTTTCTATTGATATAGTCCCATGTTCGGTCTCTTTTAAAAGAGACTAATATCTGTTTTGTTTGATTTTTTTTTTCTTGCTTTCGTTTGATGGTTTTGTTCCTTTACTCTTATCATTAAACTTGTGTTTTATGATGGTTTTGTTCTAAAGAATTTGTTGATGATAAAAAAAAAAAAAAGATAAAGAGATTTAGGAGCATCCTTAGGCATGATTTGGATCCATCAGGTGTACACGTTTGGATAAGAAAAAAAAAATGCAAAGGTTGGATTTAATTACGTGTCAATAAGCAATTGGGTGTGAACAAAAAGGTTCTTTAGGTCTCTGCCACATTGTACAATTACCAACTTGAGTTTTTCTTGGAGGATCTAAATCAAAGTCTGTCTTTTGCCACGTTGGATTCTGTCACACCTGCTCATGGATTTCAACAAAAAGATTCATGTCTTTTTCTTCCTCGATCTAATCAGAACCCTTCACGTGTTCCACTGCCATCACATCCTAGTAATTTTATTATTTTTTTTCTCTCGCTGATATAATTTTTTTCATTATTTTCTTTAAATAGTAACAATATGGTGAACTAACGAATTTTAGCATTTTTAGCTAATATGTAACATCTGATTCTGAAGATTTTTAGAGGGAAAAATAGATGTTACTTCTTAGATATTAGTATTACATACTTCTCATATTTTTAGCATACATACTTCTCAGTTTTTTGCAATTTATTAGGAGGAATTTTTTATATAAATTAACTGTAATTGACCCTCATCCTCAAAGGAGATTAAATTATTTTTTCACAATTCCTTTAAACTTAAATATATTTATCTAATAAGATATTTACGATGCCTTTTTCGTTAACTCCCTAAATTATTAATTAAGTGCAAATGGAAAATACATAGGTGTATTTTAGATGCCTTTTTTCCCGTCAATATATTTTGGCTTGCAGTGCCAAAACAGTTGTACCATTTAATGCTATTTTTTCCTGTGATATTTTTTATCCAAGAAAAAAATATTAAAATAGGTATTATTTTTCCTAAAATATACTAGAATTAATATTGGAAAATAGTTTCGTTAAGAGCATACAGTATTTGTAATCTTGGTACACATGAACAAATGTTTGTTATTTGGAAAACTCTTTAGACTTAAACAAGAGCATAATTATCAGAAAATCAATAAGTGAAATATACTTGTTTGCTCAGTTAATTTTATTTATTCTCATCAATTTGTTTTCTTATCTGAGTGTAGTACACATTTGTACTTCTCCATCTATCATATATTTCAGAAAATTAGGTTTTTTCATTTATTAAAAAAGAAGAAGATTGTTTAAATAAATACTAGATAAATAATATATGTGAAGATAAGCCATCTTTGTATTTAAGCCTTGCCTTTACACAACACGACTGGCGAGATGTGGACGCTGCGTCCCCTTGGGAGCTACATTAAGTCTAAAAAACAACACCTTTTCTATCTAGCTTTTCATTTTCTTTCTTTTGCTTAATCAGATAACTCTACTTGATTTTTTTCCGACGACAAAACAGTTTGATTTACTTCACGAAGAATTGCTTACTTTTAAAAACCAATGCAAGAAAACCTAAAATAATGTCTCTACCTCCAATAGTAACACATTAGCTATCAATTGGGAAATTGACATGTAGACTAGTTAACTTACTAATTAATGAACATGTATCTCTTTAAAAGTGTGTCTATATGTTATGTCAATATGTCGAATTGCGGCCACTTGTTAGGAGGAAGATTGCAACCATAGGTTATGTATTTTCAAGCACATTCAGACATTCTTATAGTTTCATGTCAACATTGCGAATTAAACAGATTTACATGTTTAGCTATTTCTTAGATATACATAAACCCCTTTATGTAGAAAAAGTACTTTTATATGTATACAATTTTATTCTTCATATATTACAAACACACGGGACAAGAAAAAAACCATAAATGAGAAACCCTAACTTCTATCACAAGGGTTGAATCCTGAAAACCTAATTTTCTAACTCAAATCAATTATTCCAAACTAGTGTTTGACCCGTGCTCTGCACGCCCGAAAATAGCATTAGTTTTCCTATTGAAGATATATTGCAAGATAAAAGAGAGCTAATTTCATAGTTGGGATGAGTATTGTGTAAATTAGAAGGAAACAAAATCTTTGAAATTTCAATTTTTTTATCTGAAGAAAAGTTGCAGGAAAACAGAATAAAAAAAAATGAAGATGTGGAAGTTTTTTTTTTTGTAGGGGAAGCAAGAGATCGTGCGTGGGGGAGGGGTGGTGGGGGAAAGTCAATTTTGATTTTAATCGTAAATTAGTGTAAAAAAAATGTGAAAGTACATAATTTAAGACTTAAGACACGTGGCTGAAGGATAAGGGTGCAGTTGTTAGAAAAGTGACTTGTGATTTATTAAATAAGGATGTTCCATCCCATTCCCACATTGAGGATATTTAGTACTCCACCACATCTCTTCCTGAAAGCCCATTTAAGAGTCCAGATGTAAGCCCATTTAAAGCCTCAAAGCCTTCTTTTTTTGACATTTTTCAAGCCTTCTCCGGTTCTCCTTAACCGCGCACTGTTTGGTGATTTGGTAAAATTAAAAATTAGCACCATAAAGAATATTCTTCTAACATAAATCGGATATACTTTCTACCTACATGACTAAATACATTATCTCACGCAAAAAAAAAAAGAAAAAGAAAAAGGAATAACTAATCGAAAATCTATTTTAGTTTACATGTCAAATTGTATAACAAGGAAGGAACTGAAGTCTTATTATCATCCTAAAATGCTCAACCTTGAATAATTTTTGGCATTTTAAATATTAAAACTTATCTCACTTTAAAGATGAATATTTGAATTAATTAAAAATGAATTGGTTGAGGATTTTGCACACACAAAAAAAAAACGAATAGTTTAAGCTACAATCTAACCAAATTCTTACCAAAAGCAATTGGTTTTACAGAAATATTTAACCGATCAACTAAACTTGGACGGTTCGAACCCGAAACCAAAGTAGAACCATTCGTCCACTTAAGTCGATCTATAATATTCTAAGTGTTGTTCTCTAAGGAGCTTTCCTCAAAACTCAAAAGTAAAAAATATCCCTTTCTAGTGGTTTCTTAAAAAGTTTTCCTGCGGTAATGTCAATTAAGAAAAGGATATGAAATGATTAGTAATATTATATTGGTGAACACACATAGAAGGTGTGAACCGTGTGATGTGATCCAAAGGCCACTATTGAATTTTTATAAAATTTCTTGTTGACTTAAAATACAAAAGGGAAACTTTCCCATAACACAAATCTTTGCAATTGTTCTTATAAACTTTTTGACATGGTGATATATTTTGACATTTTGCCCAAAAAGCAGTGCATGCATATGGCCATAAAGCTAGCTTCATTAAGTGGATCTCAATTAGAAACCAGCTAATCCACGTTGATGGAACAAATATAACTCCTCTCTCCTGCATTTTCAAAAGTTAACAATGCCTTCGATCTTCTCAATGTAGAGATTCCAAAACTTATGATTTACTAGTCAGTAAAAACAATAACAAAGCCTTTTGAAATACATGAATTATTTCTGAGTACTTATTTTTGAGTTTTGATTTTATAAGAGATGTAAAAGAATAGAAAAAGTTGTATCTAAATAAAAATGAATGCCGTATATGTTAAGAATAAGCGGTATGCTGTATTAGCCACTATAGAAGCCAAATTCGTGAAGTCATCATAAAACATAATTAAGAGATAGTGCCATGACTTTGAGAAGCATGTATCATATCTTCTAACTTTATTTAAATGGACTATTTATATACATAGATATGTTCACTTTGTCAACATGTCTAAACAATTGAAAATGGATGTATATATTTAACAAAACTGTCTGTGCTTAGCTATCCTCCACTATAGTGTGATCGACATTACATCTTCGAAAGTATTTATTTAAGCAAATTTTTATATTTACAATTGATAATTGAACAAAGGAAATTAAACGTGAACTTCCAAATTACTAGACACAAAGCTTCGTTTGACTCGACCCATTTGTTATTGTCAATGACTAACTATAAAATAGACACGCGTAATTAAGTGGTCACGCCCATTGGCTCCCACAATTCCACCACTTTAAACAACATCCATCATCTACAAGTTTCGTATTGATCATTTACATATGCAAATAATTCATACTTTGAAGGAAGAGAAAACTCTACAAAAATCCCCAAAACTATCAACATTATATTGACTATAATCTTGATAAATTCAAAACTATGAAATAATATCCGTTTAATCTGAATGAACATTCAAACATTGAAATTAGAATTTTGCTTATGTATAATGGAGTATACACACATTTTTTTCATATTGTAATTATAATTAGTATCTTATATTATAGTATAGAAAATTAAACGTGGAAAAGTGAAACCGCGTCGATTGCTTTGTTTCTTCGTATATGTTCTTTTAGAGTTTAGACAGTTTGATGCGCTGATACAAAATACTATAGCACTCCAAATCAGATAAAAAACACGTTCCATATTTTATTTAGTGATTAATAGTATAAAATGCGCAAATTGGAAGAAGAGAACTATATATAAAAGACTATACAAGAAACCACTACAAAGACAAAACTCAAAACAAGTTGGGGAAAAAAGAGAGAGACAAAACTCACAACAACATTAAGGTTTTAACAAAATTTATTTTTATCATAAAACTTCATAGGTCAAATGGCCAACAAAGCTCTCATCCATCTCCTCATGATCTTCTTCTTGTCCCTATCACACATCTTCTTCTTCCCTTCCAATGCATCGAGTAAGATCTTCATCTCTCTTAAACCCTATTTTCTGTAATAAATATTTACATCATATGCTTTAACTTATATCATCTATATTTTTGTATGTATGTAGGACTTGGGAATTTGATGGAGAAGCCCAAAATTGATCTACCTCAACAAGATACATTAATGGTTAGTTCTTGCTATGTATATTCATATGGTATATGTGTTCTTGAAAGGTTATAATTAGATTATTAAAGATTCAAATTTGTTTTTTTTTTAAATAATGTTCTTAGGATGTGAGGAAGGAGGTAGAAGAAAGGATGGTGATGGAATTAAACGACTATCCAGGATCGGGTGCGAACAATCGCCACTTGCCACGACAACGAGGCTGCGTCGTCGATTGCTGATAGATATATAAAGTGAAGAAAAATGAATCAATCTAATTATAGTATCGATAAAAGTTGATGTATAAGTAAGCTACGTCTAATTATTATTACGGACTATGATCAATTGAGTTAGTTTAACATCGGAGTCTATAGACGATTAGACTATATATATATACTTGTCTACTCTAGGGAGAAAAGCATAGTTTTATTTATGTAGTTCAGTTACTAAATCCAGAGATGCTATTGTTAATAAACTACATATATATATATATATATATATGGATGATATGTACAAGCCTTTAATTTTCAATTTGGTGATAGGATATAATTGATTTACGGCCAAATAATATAAGACTGGCGTAAAAAAATTAAAATAAAGAGAAGACACTACTCTCCTTTTCACTTATATTTATCAAATTGAGTTAGTTACACTTACATCTTAGTCTAGAAATATATTCAAATTTATATCTTGCTGATATATCCTCGTCATGAATTATGCCATACATTTTTTGCAATGTAATATTATCACTTATGAACTTTCTATATTTTTTTAACACTACAAAGTTTTTGTTTTGTTTTAACTTCAACACTACAAACTTTATAACCGCATTTTACCAACTGAATTTCATTTAGTTTCCAAATAGTATTGTAATAAACAATATATTATTAAAACAATGTAATTTACAATTATAAAATTTAAAATATAAAACGTACTGATGAGAAAAAATGTGGGTTGATTACAAGGCTCTGGAAGATTACATTACAAACTAGTGTCAACGAAAATTGAAAACAAAGATCAACAACAACACAAGAAATATTCATCACACAATTATCAACAACAACAAGTTGAGACAAAACTCAAAAGAACCCGTGGTATCGATAATAAGGTAAAACGCAACGTTTGGTTTGTCATACGGACACTACTAAAAGACACAACTCAAGTTTCACATCACCTCTTGGCGGATCCTACGAGACAACCAAAACACAGATCTGCTTCCTTTTTATTCTTTTTGGTTTTTCTATTTTCTTTATATATTTTTTTTAAAAACAAGGTTTTGTTCCTCCATCGTTACCTAATCCCCTTACCTTCTTCTTCACTGAGTCTATCTAACGAACAGAGAGCAAAATCCAAATCAAATTCCTCAAGAAGCCTCTCTCACTCTCTCTCGGCTTTTTCAGATCAACAAGGTTAGATTCTCAACTTCTCGTTTCTTTTTTCAATTCTTTGTTTTTGATTTTTGGATTAGATTCTTAGATTTACGATTTTAGCGGAGTCTCCTGTGAAATTCTATCTGCCCTTAGGTCTTTCATCGATTAGGGTTTCTAATTTGTTTCCTCAGATTTGAATTTTTTTTTGGGAGTTATATGAATATGAATATCTGTTAGGTTTATTTTTGTGAAAACAGGGGACAACAAAAATGGCAGTAGCAACATCAGCTTCTCTGTTTTCAACTGTTTCTTCATACTCCTCTAAACCCAGTTCCTTACCACATTCAAGACTCCAAGCTGTGAAATTTAACTCAATCCCTAGCTTCACCGGTCTCAGATCAACGTCTCTCATCTCTGGATCTGATTCCTCTTCCTTAACCAAGACTCTACGCGGTTCCGTAGCGAAAGCTCAAACATCTGACAAGAAGCCTTACGGATTCAAAATCAATGCTTCGTACAAAGTAGCTGTTCTTGGTGCTGCTGGTGGTATAGGTCAGCCTTTATCACTTCTCATCAAGATGTCTCCGTTAGTTTCGACGCTTCATCTTTACGATATTGCGAATGTTAAAGGAGTTGCTGCTGATTTGAGTCATTGTAATACTCCTTCTCAAGTTCGTGATTTTACCGGTCCTTCTGAGTTAGCTGATTGTTTGAAAGATGTCAATGTTGTTGTTATCCCTGCTGGTGTACCGAGGAAACCGGGTATGACTCGTGATGATCTTTTCAACATCAATGCCAACATTGTGAAGACGCTTGTTGAAGCTGTTGCTGATAACTGTCCTAATGCTTTTATTCATATTATTAGTAATCCCGTTAACTCTACGGTACCGATTGCTGCTGAAGTGTTGAAAAAGAAAGGTGTTTATGATCCTAAGAAGTTGTTTGGTGTTACTACGTTGGATGTTGTGAGGGCTAACACTTTTGTTTCTCAGAAAAAGAACCTTAAGCTTATTGATGTGGATGTTCCGGTTATTGGTGGACATGCTGGAATCACCATTTTGCCTCTCCTCTCGAAAACAAAACCGTCTGTCAACTTTACCGATGAAGAGATCCAAGAGCTCACTGTTAGGATTCAGAACGCTGGAACTGAGGTTGTGGATGCTAAGGCAGGTGCGGGTTCAGCTACTTTGTCAATGGCATATGCTGCAGCAAGATTTGTCGAGTCATCTCTCCGTGCTCTTGATGGAGACGGAGATGTCTATGAGTGCTCGTTTGTGGAGTCGACTCTGACTGATCTTCCTTTCTTTGCTTCGCGGATCAAGCTTGGGAAGAACGGTCTTGAAGCTGTGATTGAGTCAGACCTTCAGGGGTTGACTGAGTATGAGCAGAAAGCACTAGAAGCTCTTAAACCAGAACTGAAAGCTAGCATCGAGAAGGGTGTCGCATTTGCAAACAAACCAGCTGCTGCAGCAGCTAACTAGATCGTGATTTCACTAAAAAAAAGAGAGGACATTCGTCAAAGAAGCTGATAACATTTTTCTTCTGATCATTTCGAGTTTTGTTTTCTTTTTCATATTTCTTGCATCTGCGAGACATTTTCGTGTTGTAGAATAAAGAATGTATGAGCTTCAGTTTGAAGATTTTGGAACATGGCATTGAAGCAGAATTTATAAATCATCACCAAAAAAATCATTACAGGATCAAAATGACGACAACAAAAAAGGTCTATATGATCTTTAGACAAGCTAAGAACATTTATCTTCTAGTCATTTCGAGTTTCTTTGTGTTTTTCTTGTCAACCTTTCTTGCACTGTCGAAACATTTCTTGTAGTATACAGAATATCACCATTATTATCTTTGTAAATATGTTTTGAATATCACCATTCTATTTTTTCTTCAAATTTTAATGAATTTAGTTTTTTCACAACAAATATCAACAGTTAGTTTTTAAAAATTCCAACCAAAATAAAATGTCTTTACAAATGAAATAAAATAAAGGAACCAAACTTATAGATATACTTTTCTAGTAAAATATGTATCTTCTACGCATATATTAATGGGTTTTCTGCAAAACAACTCTCTAAGTCAATTTTGTTTACAATTTTACCCTCCAAGTCTGAATTATGCAAGTCAACCCCACAATCTCAAAAGTCACCCGCAATACAGCCCTCCTGTGTAGCGATGACGTGGCACCCGATAACTCCGTTTGAAAACATATGGATTTTTGCAGAAAAATCCTCCATGTAATTTTTTTTTGCAAAACAAACCTCCATGTCAAATAAATGCAGGTCAAACCATAATCTCAAAAGTCACCTGCAATATATAAAGTTTTGAATTTTGGTTGAAGTGTTGGTTGAATTTTGATAGACTCGGGCATGCCACATATGGAAATGGTGGGATGAGGCTATGATGGAGGAATTAACCAAGTTGAGACTCGAGGATCTCCAAATGATCAATATTTGAACTTATAACAATTAGAGATTTTTAGCTATTGGTTTTGATTTACTGTCGTTATTATTAGCAATTAGTAAGATCGCTCTCATAACCTAAAACTAATAACAAGAACTTTACACAAACAAGCAGATACATTAGCATAACATGAGAGCGTTTTAAATGCTTAAGTTGATTAGAAATAGTTTAACCATAACAAAACACCATATTATCCTTGAAGAACGTAATAACAGAATCATTATTAGAATCATACACCTAATAGTAAAAAAATTTATAACCAAATCAAACAATCAATATAATCATGAGTCTCATCAATTATCCACAAAACATTATAATACTATGCTACGTACGTAAGCTGATTTGTCAGAGTTACTATTTTCATCTTTAGAACTCCAAGTTCCAGATTAGTATTCGAGACCATTGTTATTAGCAAAAACGCAAACTTTGGACTACAAGCAAATGTGCAAACTGTAGAACCCAAATGTCTTACTTTATTGACATCGAGATTATTCGGCCAGAAATGCAACAACTTTGATCGAACATCACTACAAAAAAATGAGTATATTGTATCACCTAAATTACATCACAAAACTATGTGATTTTATTTTACGTTACTTATTTACAAATGAAGCAAATATATATGACTTAACATTAACTGATGTTATAATTAACTAATTTGACATCATTAAAATAAAACTGATGCAATTTCTATTAGTTTGTATCACTTTAAACAAATTGATATAAAATATAAATTTACATCATTTATATAATTGATATATCTATTAATATATAGTAAAATCACTCTTTTTAAAAGATACAAAAATTGACATCAATAAAAACTGATGTTAAGATAAATTATACTAGTTTTATTTCACTGTATATTGTTTTTGCAAAATATAAACGTAAAAAGGATACACAATATATATTAACATCACTTTTAAACGTGATACACAACATATATATCAATAAAAAATGATGCTAAGAATTCTTTTTAATTAAAATGATCTTTTTTTGTAGTGCATCTCCATAGAGGAAACAAATTCCTTTGACCTGAAGGTCCTGAACCGACCCGTTTACTTTTATACAATCATGGCACTGAGAATATTGAAACCATGAAATAAAAATGTAATTTATATTTAATATTTAATTTTATTAATTGTACAACTCCTATTTTTTTTTAATTTGTAAACTAATTTAATTTCCCAATTTTACAAAGAGGCTATAACTTAGTCCGTTATTTACTACAAAAATGCTATACCAGTTCTTCAAAACATATTTTACAAACATAATCCAAGGCTATAACTTATTTTTCTCTCTCTTTTTTTCGTCGAAATAACTTATTTTTCTCTAATCCTTTTCAAAAACTCAAATTGATGCAGCACCTGATGTGGTTTTTTTTGGGGGGGGGATTTCAATAAATTTTACAAAAAGAGGTTAATTATGAGCAAAAAAATTTGAAAAATGATTATATATGACAACTTTTAAAAATGAATATGGTTAACGTAAATAATACAAACTAAATATAAAATAAAAAAGAGATGAAAAATTTAGTATTATGTATTACATAGACATTTAAAGTTACTAAGCAAAGTTAAGGTAGGCACAATTATTTTTAGTGAAGAAGTCATATGAATATTTACTATTTGTACTATAAGGAAATAAATTGGTATATAAATGCTCTTCAAATTTCTTAAATCTTTGAAAAGGAGGTGTTGGGTTAATTATATATTAAGCAGTTCCTCCAACAGCCTGCGATGGTAGTCGTTGTCAGGTGTTCATCGCCAGTGCAAACGAAATGATCTCCTTGTGGTTTACATGGTGGTTTTCCTGTCTTTCTTCCTGTGATAGGATTTGTCAATGGCTTGTCATCTTTGAAAAAATTGCCTATATATAACAAGAGAAATAAAGGATTTTAAAATACTATAGAGAATATTGGTAACTAATAATGATTAATGATGGGCAAAATGTTAACTATATGACATACATTCATGAAGATTAACCAGTGAAATGAGGATGATACAAAATACAACAATTTTGGATAACGACATTGTAATTTTCTCTTTAAAGAAACGTTTTATTGTTTTATGGTAGAAAACCTTACATGTAAAGTAAACATATATATAAAAGTCTCGAACTATTTTTGTAGGGTGATCCTAAAAATGCTGTTTTTTGAATTTGTTTGGCTGTAGTTTTATATTCTTTATATTATGAGAAATTGATGTTTAAGAGTTAATTACTCGTTTGCACAAAATGAGAGAGGTAATTACTCGATCTCCAAATAATCAATATTTGAAAACTTATAACAATTAAATATTTTTAGCCATTAGTTTAGATTTACGGTCGTTAGAATTAGTTATGTAAATATTATCATTTTGTTATAAGAAGGGGAACATGTTCAAAATCCAAGCTTCATTAGAGAAAAAGACAGATGCAATAAGCAAATGTGCAAACTGTAAAAAATATTGAATGAAGTTGAAAATAGGTGAAGATTTGGTTTCCAAAAATACATGCATTTTAAATTAAAATGATAATGTCGACTTGTTTGGTTATATGGTTAGTAGGATAAGATTTTTTAGGCTATGTTTGATAATAGGGATAGTAGATCTAATTGTTAAGACATTTTTACCTTTAATAGATTTTTTATTTGTTTTTTGTACCAATGGCATATGATGTAATATCCAATAAATTTAATATTAAGTTTGAAAATGTAATTTCCTTTTAATATTAGTCAGATTTAAAAAAAATGGGTCGGATGATAGGAAATAGTCTGAGAAACTTTCGTTACTTACTTTTCTTTATTAATAAACAACTAAAAGTAATTTTAATAGCTTATGGTTTTATATGATAGTTACATTTGATAAAATAATTAAATATATTAAGTTCAAATTTCACCAAAATCCATTTTTATGTTTTAGTTTTTAGTTTTTACAGGTTAATTAGTTACTAAAAGTTAAACTGTTAATTACTACATGTCTACATATAAAAACCGGAACTTCTTTAATTTTAAGTTGAAACATGGCACTGAGGCAGATTTTATAAATCACCCCCAAAAGTCATTACAGGAGCAAGACCCGCCTTTAAAAGTTCTCTAATGACCTAACAGTTATACACATCAGATACAAATTTCGTGACATTATTGCAATCAACCCAAGATATGACTTATGAGCTTGTTTCATATGTTGATTAGAAGAAAATTCATTTGAGCTTGTTTCATCTGAAAGACATGTTTCAGACAAGCTGATAACATTTTTCTTCTAAATATTTCGATTTTTGTTTATTCCATCTTTGTTGCATGGACTAGATCGTTATTTCACTTTAAGAAAAACACACATTCTTCAAAGTAGCTGATAACATGTATCTTTGTAAATACATGTTCTGAAATTAAATTTAGTTAAGCCTCATTCAAAGAAAAAAAAAATTTAGTTCGTAATGACGTTGGTTGTAAATAATTACTTTAACCATAAGTTTGATTTTTTGACAAAAGTCATAGCAAAATTAATTATAAGCAAAAGAAATTCAAAAAGTTATTTATTATTTATAATATATGAAAATTTACAAGATGAAATAAGGTGGACATAAATAATACAAACAGAATATAAAATAAATAAATAGAGACTTTTAAAGCTATTAAGCAAAACTAAGGTAGGCATTATTTTGTTTAGTGAAGTCACATGAATATTTAGTATCCCTTATATATTAATAGAGAAACATTTTAAAAAACAAACCTTATATTGACGTGTTATTAACAAGATTGCCATGCTGACGTGTTGCTCTCAGAATGATTTATCACTTATTTAAATAATTGCCCAAATTTTATTAGACTATTTACAGAATTTGCCATTACTATTATACAAATATATATCCCACTTATCAAAATGAATTTTTAATTAAAATTACAAATAATTATGCAACAAATATTTCCAAAATAAATATACCACAAACTTAAGCAAATAACTACATAACTAATATTAATAAAAGAGGCTACGAGTCCATCTTTATCTCTATATTAGTAAGATCATTAAAATGTAACAGAGACTACGTCCAACCTTAAACAAATCTTATCAAGTAACTAATATTCCAAACTAAATATACAACTGCCTTACATTTTTTCCATATAAACATTAGATATCTATATTAATTAGCAAAAACATTAAAATGTGACAAACATTTATGTTTAT